CGAGCCGGATGCAAAGGAAACTCTAGAGCATCTGCAGTGTAATTGTCCGGACCTCTCGAGAACTCGACAAAAATACTTGGAGGCTGTCAGTTTTTCCGGACTGGAGCACATACCTAAGGTTTCTGTTGAAATCCTAATAAAATTCGCTAATAAAAGGCGCATCTTACGTGATGCACACAATCGCTAAAATAAGACTCCGATCTGGTATCGCAATGGACCTTAATGGTCTACGCGTGGCCTTTTTGGTCTGCCAGCATAATCTAATCTAATCTCTAATAATCTACAGTCATCATCAGGGTACTATAAAATTTTAATACAATGTAATTAATTTTAGTACATATTCCAAAGAGCCAATTGTAAAATACATTGACATCGAAACATGAATTATATATATGTATGTATGCTGCGGAATGCATAGAATTGGAGATGTGGTTCTATTGCGCTCCTATATCGGTTTCTCTAGATATATTTTCCAGATAGTGGGAGAGTCGAGTAGCGAAGTCATTAGCTGTCTGTTGTGATAGCAGCTTTTCGACATCTCGCTTTCGCTGTGTTCACGTACTTTTTTTATCGCACATAAACGTGTGCGAATCTTAAAAAAGATGATTGTAGCTATCCAGAGAGGGCCGTGTGGGGCTGTGTGTCAACTTGGAGAGAACAGTCACAAGTATTGCAAAAATTGAGTCACTAAAACAAAAAATCAAATATTAGTTTATTTATATAATAAAGAATCTATTTCGAATAAAATAGAGATAATAGCGAGAAAATTTTCAAATCCAAAACTTAAATTTTTATCAAATAAATGCTTGAGCTGACCGTGTAGCTGTTTTGGATATCACCAAATATTCATCATTAATGGTCTTTGAAAAAATCACATGAGTTTATTGTTTGCAAGTGTCAGGAATTGGACTATTCCATAGTTTTACATTATTTACTATTTTGATAATATATGTATATTTAAGCATAGGAAACCGAAATAATACAATTAATGCATGTAAGTTTCATTTCAATTTTGTAAAATAGTTGAAGCAATCCCACTTTTATAATTATACTGTAATATTTTATGAACTCTTTACCATATGCAGTTAAAATTTATAAAAACACTATTATAATTAGCAATATAACCCGAAGTTTGGAAAATATACACGTTTCAGGATTTTGAAAAATTGTATGGAAAAATTTTGTAATTTAATTAAAAACAAAATTCTAAGCATTTTGGCAATAATTTTGTTTGCAACACTCATACCAAATTTAATTATGTTTTCCATAAGCTTATATATTACAAATTTTTATATTATAAAATCAATTATCCTGTTTCTTCTCTACCCCATCAAGAACTCTCATTGTAAGCCCCAAGCGCTCATATAATTTTGCACAACTTTCCATTTCTGAAATTGAGAAAAAATTCCGCATACCCACTGACATCCAAATTAGAAAAGTTTCAATTAAAAAAAAAATTTATTTTAGTTTTTATAATATTTTTATTTTTTTTTCAATTATTCATTGAACTTTGCTCACTTGAGCTCTTAATTAATTAAAAATTGATACTTTCCTTTCTCCATCATGGCAATTCTTACTTGAAAACTTTACACCCAAATTACCAGTTCGTAACTAGCAGCCCAGCATATAAATTACTTTGTGAAGTGTTGCTCCAGCATTACTTCAACCTTTGCTCCAATCCTTTCATGGAATATTATTCATTATTTTTTACCCAAATTACAACACATATAAGCTCACTCACCATACCTACGATATACACATATACACATATATGTACAACTACATATACATATATAAGTGTACATAGTTATATATATGTAATAGTTATGTATGTATATTAGCTAGTTTATACTGGAGTGTACTGGTAATGGCTAGGTTTGTGGTTAAGGATATCGTTTCGGTTTTTCTCTTTGCAGCAAAATTTTTACTTCATTTAGTTTTTCTTTTGTGATGGAATCGGGCAAATGTCTTTAAATTTGATAACTTCTTGGTCCAAATGTACCATATACACTCGTACTTCTGTATAGTTATAACTACTCGTGTATGTATGAGTAGATATGCATATAACAAAGGATACATTTTTTGCTAAGACTAAAAATATTTCAAATCCTTCTTTCTCCTTCCTGTAATTCTTTTTTGACTTATCATTAATATTTTCTTACTTTTTTCATTCATTTTATGGCAAGAGTTTTGAGCACTATTTTTTCACTAGTTGAGGAAAGGAAATACACATTAATAGGAAACATGCTTCATATTACCATGACTGCTTCACATATCCGGTCAATCATTTATCTGACTGATTGTCAATCACTCTTTTGCAGCGTTTGCTATACACATACAGTCTACATCTACATTTTGGTTGACTTACCTGTACATCTCTTTAATAAGTTTTATATACCATAGTAGAATTTATTCCTTTTCTATTAAATTAATATAGTTTTTATTACAAATACGAGTAAAAAGCAAAATCTTAAAATTTAAAATAAAGCAATGTTTATAAATGCAGAAAGTGATAGAATATAGCATAATCCAAACTCAAGCTTCATTACATTAATCACAAAAAAATATCAAAAAAGCTTCATGAACGTTCCAATCAGTTTTTCAATTAAGATATTTAAGGTGCTACCTAAAACAAATAGTTATTTTTTAAAAAAATAAGTGCTGGTGTTTATTGTCACGCCATCTATTGACAATCAAATTTATTGGTTAGGTACTCATACTTATTTGCTTCACAATACTCAGAAATACCCACATTTAAAAAAAAAACTGGTATCTGACTTGTCAAAAGATTATTTTGGTGGTTAGGTAGCCACATGTAATTGCCAACCGCTGACAATTACATGCCAATCCAATCCTACACTTGCGAACTGTCAAAGTTGACAAAAATTCTGACATTTGGACTTATAAAAAAGAAGCTATTGCATCTGAATGGTCAAATTATTTATTTTATCAGAACAAAATTGTCATTCCTTAAAATTGTAATTTCTTATCAACTGCATCAATTTAATTTGATAAACAATCGATAGATAATTTTACGATTCTTTTGTTATACCTAAGTGATTTTACGTACCTGGTCGTCATGGAAATATATGAAGGCCTGCATCTTGAATGTATCCAATACTTTTACAATCTACTATATCTCCTGAATGGTGTATTATAAATGGCATCCCATAACTTAGCAGAAAATTGCTACTGATTTGTCTGCATAAACCAATCATTTTAAATACCCCAGAGCAAATAGTCAAACTAAGTCAGATAACACTTGGGAATAATGATTTCATTTGCGTAGTTAAGTTTTCATCGAACTCTTCATTCAATTAGTAGTTCGATCTGCTAAAAGTGTGGCATATGCCAAACTAGAAATCATCTTTCTTCATTCTAACCTTTGGAAATCTGGCTCGATATTCGATGCCATTAAGCGTAGTATTTGCATTGTATTCCTTTTTGAAAAAGTACAGCCATACAATTAATCAACTGACTAATCGTACGAAACAATAGCTTTTTGTGAAGTGTTTGCTAAGTCAGAATGGTATTTGCCCAACCCTAAATGCTTTATATTTTTTGCTTTGTAAAAAACAATTAAAAATTTTATGAAACAAAATGTTGGCTGGACAACGGGAGTGGTTCTCCAAGCATCTATTCACAGTAGTCACGATTTCAATGATGATGATACAATTTATACTGCATAATATGCTGTGCATAATATTTTCCACAGCGTTGATAGGCTGAGATCAACTTCTTGCAAACGATACCAAACCAATGAATCTGTCTTTATCTTTATTGGGACTACTTTGTTCCTATATATGCCATACCCAATTTTTTTGAATATGCCGACTCAGTTAATCGTTTATATTGACCGTAAACACATTCTGTGTACATATCTCCTTAAGTTTTGATTTTGATAATAAATTTGAAAGCTTTTATCAAAGAGATTCATTGTGTACTGGCTTAGTGGAGATAAGGAGTGTAGACTTCTCGGATTTCTTCTTCTTGATTTCATAAAATAGTGCAACTGGTTTGTTAATGGGTTGCAATTAAAAGTCTTCTCTATGGATAAGAGATGGACAAAAGATGTTCCCAAGTGAAATTATTAATATCTCTATTAACGTGTGTCCCTTTAACTTGATTCAACCGGAGTGTTTAACCGAATAATACACTTTTTAAGTGTTACTATATTAAAGAAATCATTTATTAAATAAACATCGTTATTTAATTTCACTGTTGAAAAATAATTTCAACTTTTTTTTCAGTTTAAAGAAAGCGAATAATAAGTAAAAAAAATATCTCGTTTAATTTTTTTTTCTTTTTATATTTAAGATGCAAGAGATCCGATATATATAAATATATCGAATATTTTACACGTAGTTCAAATTTTATCATCAATGTTTGTATGTTGTTAAACAATCAGTTCAACCTTATTCGAATATTTTTACAACTTTCTTAGAGGACATTTTATAGCGATCTCTGAAATAGACGTTTGTTTCTTTCGTTTGCTAGTTTGAGGCCTCCATGTCTGTATGTGCAGGTTTATTTATCTTATTTAATTATTATCTTTATAGCAACACACTTGATATTTCATTGGTGTACACATAATAGCTGTTAGAGAGTCCCTTTACTTATTATTTATCTTATTAATTATATGAAGTGTTTTTCTTCTATGGCATCCTTGTTATCTGGTCTTATTTAATAAACCATCTTATTAACTATATTGAGATATTTAATGCGTTGTTTAAAAGGAAACGCTCTGAGATTACTATACTCAAGTTTTTGTTAATATCAATGAAGTGAAAATACTTTAATTATTTTTTCTTTTTGAAACTTTTAATATTGTACTATATATATTCCAATGTCTAGGAATTCAATAATGAAAATGCCTTATACTTAATTACCATTTTCTGATTTATTTTGCAAATCATATAAACTTTGTCATATTATTACACTTTTTACTATTGCCTGACATCAACGTTTCAAATTTTTCTCTGTTTTATTTTCATTTGCAGCGCAACCTGTCTAACCAGAGCCATGTCGTTCTCACAGCCGTGCCGTTGAACATATCAGGAAAATTCACTTGTGAAATTTCAGTGGATGCGCCATCATTCCAAACGGCTATGGTGTCTGGTGAAATGGAAGTTGTAGGTTAGTATTGGGCAGATAGCTAACTACTCGGTGTTAATTGTATGCGTGGGTATTAAAGGTGTGAAAAAAATGGCGTGAAGATGCTCAAAGTAAAAGCTGTCAGATTCCGGTACATTTGTGAAGCAGAAACGAAACGGGGGAAAGCAAAAAGCAGTCGTCATAATCATCATGAAATATGCTACGAATTGCCTTAAATGCCAAAAATTTGGCAGAAGCAAAAAACGCAAATTAATTAGGCAAATTGTGTTGAATTCCTCATTCCGTAGATAATACGAGTACGTCTATTGTAGTGGAGCAAGTAGCCGACAAGAAACCCACAGCATACAATGCACCCTCTGCGCTATTACTTCTGCTTTTGTTTTATTTTTTTTTCGTTTTTCCGTTTGGTTTTTGCTTACTATTTTCACATTTTGATTAAACGCTTTTCCTACTTTCATGTACTATTTTTTTTATCAATTTTCTTCCTCTTTTTCATGTAATACCAGAATTGCCGGAACAGCAAGCAACCGTAACTGGCATACAGCCACGGTATCGTATTGGCGATTTGGTTGATGGCAATTGCTCAATTAAATTCTCGAAACCGGCTGCTAATTTGACATGGACTATTAATGGTCTTGTGGTAAGTTTTGGTTTTCTTGCTCACCGTCTCTTTTTACTGGAGCGTTACTTTTTGTTTTTGTTCTTGTTTTTGTTTTTGCTTTGCCTTTGTTGTTAGTGTGTTTTAATTTTCATTGAGTACGGGCTCTGATGTTCAAAATTAATTGTCAGTAATTTGAAAATTACGTAGGGAATTGAATGAAATATTTTAAATTGCAACTGAGCTCAGAACTCAAATTAAGCAAAACGTGTATGAATAACATTGAAATTTAATCATATATTCGAATTATCGATTAAATTATAAAAAATACTTCAAGCGATTATATTATCTAAAATCATCCGAAATTGAAATCGAATAAATTTAAAATCGGGCCAAAAGAGTGAAAAAAATGCATTATAAATCTATAAAATCTATAAAAATAAAATATGAAAATAAAAATGAAAAATTAAACAGGGGTTAAGTTAAAAAAGTATTTATTACATTCATTATTTTAAATGTATTCATAAGTGAAGTCAAGAGGACATTTGGAATGCTGACTCCTCTTTAAAAATGTAACGGAAGTATTATTTCACAATAAATAGGGACCTATTGAGTTTTTCGAAACAATAACAATCCCCTATAAACTTAATAAATAACTAAAAATTAAAAATAAAAATATGTAATAAATTAAATTAATTATTGTACAGCTAGTTTATGATTTTGTTGTAATATAACACAGCAAGTGAAATTGGTAATGAAATTTCACAGCAAATTAACAAAACTGCAAGCTCGAACATACAACTCAATTACGGCTTTGGGTTAGTTGACTAATGAACACTAACTCTGAGCTTCAACTTTAGCAGGGCATGAGTTCAACTCTGTGTAATTGCAGTCTCAAAAAATTAGTTATGATAAAATAAATATAAGAATTAATTACAAGACCACTGCTGATTGATATTTGGCAATACTCAAAACAGCTGTATGGTCAGCCAAAAATTCAATTAATTAAAAATAATAGAAATAATTTTTGTTGTTGTACTTCTTTATAAATGATTTACATCACCATATGTGAACAAAAAATTTTGAATTTAACACTCATCTTATATATATTTTATATAGCATATATATCATTACACTACTATTAAAGAGAACTCTACTTATGTTCCATAACAAGGTAACATATATATAAGATATTATTTACTTTCAGTTGATAAAGTTATGTATTATTACAAAGTATTAAATAAGTAGATATATATAAAATAGGCTGGAGCACTGTCATTGTAAATATAACATCTATTTTAGCTCTCTTTAATATGTACAAAAAAATTCTATATAAGAGCGTTACAAGGTGTCAAATTATTACCGAAAAAAATGTCTTTTAACCTGGAAATCAAGTTAATACAATTTGTTTAGGAAACAACGTTAATAAGTTTCCAAACAAATACAATAGATAGGTTTCTCAATTATTTAACTTAAGAACATTTATACCAAATTTTACTAACTCTCTTTACATTACATACCATATTAGTAGTTTAGTTTTGTCAGTGGATTCACCCCAATCAATTATGATATTCATGTATAAAACTTAATACATCTTTTGGATGAATGAACAGAAATCAAATTAATTGATTAACTTTCTTTACTTATATAATATTTTTTTTATCTTACATTAACAGCATATTTTTGCTACATTGCAACACCATATTTTGTTATATTATTATTCGCACAGGATTTTCTTAATTTGTTTCACACCAACCCATTAATATTCTCATTTTTCCTAAAAAAATGAATTATGTTAAGAAATAAATAATTGTCTATGCAAATCAAGTACTGAGAATAAGTGAGTTGATACTCATTAGTTAAGATTCTCTTATAAACTATATAGAATGCAGTGGTGATTACACAAAAACGGAAACTCCAACTTACAATTTTTAGGGATAGTAACAGTCAACAGAAATAGTAAAGATAAAATTGAAATTGACAATAGCTAGGCTGCCATTTGGAACTCTCAGCACAATGTGAAGATCACCGATCTTCATTATTACCGATTATTCAACAATAATGTTAAGACCTTACTTTTTCATTATAGTGAAAGCTATAATATAAACAGCACTATCACTCATCACCTGCAAAGGTTTGTCAACTACAGTCGTTTGGTCGTATCTTAAGACTATTCTGGACAAACTCAATATCAAACACTAAATTATTAATCTTTATTGGCTATATTTTCTACTATTAGCTATATTCCAATAATGATCGAAAACTATAAGTGGCTTGATCGTATTATACGTAGGTCATTCTAAGAACGTAAAACTCCGCGTAATGACAAAGTTATTCTCGCACTTTAGTAGTGCGATCAGTCAATATTCGTCACGATTCAGATCCCAGAAATACATAACACATGGAAAAGAGAAGTTTTACTTTTCGTCAATCGCATGAAAATAATCATCACCTACAATCATTAAGGAGACATCAATTGGTTTACAACAACAGAAGAAAAAGTTTTGAATACTACGATTGTCACATTTACTTACCGCTTGATAATATAGTACTATGTAGAGGTGCTACTTTAAAAAACTTGAGGTGACTCTGGGTTTTCAAATCATATTTTTCATACAGTTTGCACACAGTCGTCTCAAATACAATGAAACTAGATTCATAAAAGCTTCCAACGTGCTGATATCCATTCTATTGACTTACTTTTAAAATTTATATGAATTTTTCAGACAATTTGCTTTTACTTAATAATTAATTTCATGTTACTTGGGATACCTCCTTAAAGAAAAATACATGGAACAAAGAAAGATATTGAATTCAATCCCAAATTAAGAAAAATTGCCGCAGAAACGTACAGAATGATAAAAAGTATGTTTAATAACGAATACAGGGAGTTTCCCCTTCGTTTAAATAGTTTTGTGAAATTCTATGAGAAAACCTTAGTATCTCAGTTAAACTCATCCAAGAAAAAACTGAATTAGAATTTCATGTTTTACCAAATTTTGATAGACGATTTGGGACAAACGAAGAGTCTATACGTGCTTCTTACAGTATACTTTAAAGGAAGATCATAGGGACAGGAAAGTTACCACAGAACTTCAGAGTTTCCAGAAGATCAAAGGATCTAAGTGAAATATTATCTAGGAGTTCTACAACGATTGTGAATCAGAATTCGATCAGTTACATCAGAATATTAAGAGGTATTCATCAGGGTGGTTGAGTATTTAACAAAAAATGACATTATTATTCTCATCCAATATACAACGTAATCATATTTTTACTATTCACCAAACTAAAATTGACAATGAAAGGAAATTATTTCAATAGGATGCCAGTCATTCACAAGTCGCCGATGAATATCATTAGTTAGATTTATTTAAATAACGTCTCATTTATTATAAAAGGCTTCAACCGACATACTAAATGTAATGGATTTATTTTCCTACACTCTCGGTTATCTAAAACGCTTCAATTAAATACTGTAGGTAACTTTTTCTAATTTGTATAGTTAATTCGATTAATTTTATTGATGACGTCCCAGTTATCTAAAAGAATTCATCCGACATTTTAAAGAAAACTTCTGCCAATAGGTATTAAAAATTATTTTAAAATCATATGTGATAAAAGAAACTATTTATATTATGAATTTAAAAAAAACACATTCATGTTATCATACATTAGTATTTAAACTAGAGTACAGAAAATATCAGAAAAACTTCATTAAACCTTTCCAGCGTTTTATTGACTCGAAAGAAAGCTACTTTAAACAAGCAAGAATTAAAACATAGCTCTGAGAAGACTTTTCAAAGTACCATGGTACGTTAGGACGTATGACATTCTCAGGGACTTCATGATTGATTCGATTAAAAAATACATAAAGGATAGAGCTCTAAAATTATTTACGAAAACTGACAGACTTACCAACACCGCGTTATTGAATCTCAGAATGGTTTCTGGCTTCTTGGGGAGATATGCAGATCTGAGGTTAATTATTGCTTAGTCTGATGAAGTGATAAACAATAATCTAGTCAGAGCGTAGAGCGAGGTTTTAAAGAAACTAAAAGTGATCAAGTGCACTGACTCAACTAGCTTCAAGAATTCAATTTTTTTTTTTTTGTTTAGAGACTTGTCTTATCAAATCTGGGACAGGTATTTTAAACTATATTGTGATATCAGCTTCAGTTGATAATAACTTGATGCTAGTTTTCAGACTCATAGTTAGTTAGTTAGTTGTGGTGGAGAGAGGACGAATCCTCCTCAAATAGCTAAGGATGAAAGCCGTTTTGAATCCACAAAAAGCTCGTAATAGTGGGTAGTAGATAGAGGGTCAGACTAGAACCTACCAGAGGCATTAACAAAGGCAAGAATCTGGTTAATGCTGATGCTGGAGATATCGCTAAGTGAGTTGAAGAAAGGGGCCCATAGAAACTTAAACCTAGTTCTGGCCAGACCTGGACAAAAACACATCAGGTGTTCTGGTGTCATTTCTTCAAGTATATTTCAGACTCATTGTCAAGGCACAATCTTCCGTATTTATTGCAGCACGAGTTCTGGTATGGATTTAAAGATTTTGTGACATTTTAAATGTTGAACTCAGCTTGACGCAGCATTAAAATACTTTGCAGTAATACAATCAATTTCAATTTACTGCTTTTTTGTTTGCAAATATTTTTTGTTTGCAAATATTTTTTGTTATGAAAAACAATTCACAAAATTCAACTAAAATCATAAAATCACTACAAATTTCAGAAAAATGTTCAAATGAAAATTTGTGAAAATGTCGCATAAAAACTTTCAAATGAAATTGCTTGCAATATTTGCTTGCTTGCTTGCAAAAATAAATAAAATAGAAAATATTTTATAGTAAAAAATTTAAATCACAAAAAACAAAAACGAGAAATAATAATAAAAATTTTTTTTATAAAAAAAAGGATTTCAAATATTCAATCCTTCCTGTTTTTCACACTTCACTTAACCAGCAAATTATATGTGCGTCGGAATGCACGGGAATGTGTGTAAAATATGCCCTTTCAAGCATGCAAACA